CGAAACGATCCCCACTAAGACAAGCCCGAATCCCCGAGCCCCCCCACCCCAGCGCTGAGGCGGGGAGGCGCTGCCCTGCCCGGCGGGTGTTGCTGTGCCGCGCTTTCCCCCGCTCCGGCCGGGGCGTCCTGCCCTCAGAGCTGCGGTTGTGTTTTGGTTTGTTTCGGGCTTGTCTTAGTGGGGATCGTTTCGTTTGTTTGTGTGTTTGTCTCCCGTTGCCCCCAACCACGTCCCCGCTGCCCGGCCGTGGGGTAGCGCTGGGGATGGTGGAGAGGAGGGGAACGCCTTGTCAGTGCCGCCCTGCCCGGGGTGATGGAGCGGCGGGTCCTGCCCCGTGTCCCCCGGACCGCTCGGGGGTGACCCGAGGGACGGGGAGATGTCGCCGGACACACCCTCTGTACAGGGGAGAGGAGCTGTGTCTCCTCCGGGCCGAAGTGAGGAAGAAAAGGCACTTTTTCTTTGGTTGTGGTGCGTTGAAGATAAGGTGCTGTGTCTGTAACTCTCAGGATCCCTATTCGAATGTTCCTTCTATTAATAGTAAATTATCTTGTTCACTCTCTGCAAGGTTAATTCTCCCAGTTTTCTTTTTTTTCTTTGGCAGGAAACTGTTCGTTCTTTTGTATTTCTTTTCCCTAGGCTTCGGGTTTATCTGTAAAGTTTGTTTGCCCACCCAACATCCAAGCGTTGCTTCCTGGTAAACTGGGGTTGAATGAACCCATTCCGCTTCTTGACTCCTGTGTAGGCTCTGAGTTACAGGTCTTGGAATTACATCTTTAATTTTTCTTTTACAAGTTGAGAAGTTGTCTCTTCTATTTAGGTAATGAAACTTAAGGGTTCCTGTTTTTAATTCTGTTGGGTTGCTAGTTCTTTCAGTTATCAGGGTTGTTTTTGCATTTTTAGAGAAAGAGAAAGGAATTTGGTTCTTTGTGTCTGTTATTTTTCTTTACAAGTAAGAAGCTTATGTGTGATGTGAAAGGAATATTTTTCCTCTTTCCTAGACTCGGATTTTTGCCTTTTCTTAAATTTAATTTCCTGTTTTACACAATTAACAAAACTATCTAAACCTTACCAGAAAACCGATCAAGCTATAAAAGCAGCTGTTGTTTTTTCATTTCTGAGGATGCCTTTCTGAAATCATGTGTTCTGTTTGTTCTGAAATGGGATGAAGTGTTAGGAACTTGAGAAGTTCTTGAGTCTTGTATGTATTTGCCACTGATAATGCTGTTGTTGGCCCTGGCTGCATTTTCTTAAACTTCCTTGATGACTGACTTACACAAAGTGGTTGTTTCCTTCAGAATCTCTTTACCCTAAAGCTGATAATGGGGAGAGAAACAAGAGAGCAAGTATGGAGTAATTAACATACAGAATGTTTTTTCCTTTGGCATTTCCTGTTCTGCTTTAAAGAAGGTAAATTCAGTCTCTTTGGGGTTTGTTTGGGGTTTTTTAGCAGGGATAATAAATAGGATTAACTTACTTCTGGAACTGTATGTGTCAAAAAGATACAACGGGTATAATAAAAGAAGGTGAATGACTGAGTGAGAAGTTACTCTGACAGGGGTTAGTAAGTGTGATTCAGCTCCATTTGGGGCCAGAGGATGAGGAGGATGACTTTGTATGTGGGTAGCAAATCAGGAGAGTTTGCTCTGGGCCACTCCTCCTTTTGGGTCCACTGAGTGTGAAGTAAGCAGTTTGTGACACAGAATCCAGTTTCTTTTTAAAAGTGACTTTTTGAGGAGAGAATCTGTGGAATGCTGTTCCTTGTTGTGGCTACAGGTATCTGTGAAAAACATGTTCTTTGTGAAGCTCCCTTCTAGATGCCGACCTGCTGTCCAGGGAAGGGAGTCCTTTGAGTTTAGGTGGTGCTGGTTACAAATTCTAAGATTCTAGTTTTTTCCTACCTTGAAAAAAGATACCCTTTTCTCTGTGTACTTCTCTCCTGTCTGGTTGTGGAACTTACTAAACAAAGAAGCAGTTTGTTATTTTTCTTTTCTGCTTTCAAAGGGCATCTGTAAGACGACCGAGCCAAGACTTGCATTTGCTGGGGCCTGTGCAGTTCACAGTTCCTTTTGGGAGTCCCCATTATCTGTATCGCTGAATTTACTTTGTGACACGAGACTTTTTTAAGTGACCTGCTCACATCAGTTAAAGGTGTGAGATTTGCACGTGTTGATCTGCAGGTGGTGAGCTGTGCTTCGTGTGCGTGGTGAGCTGTGCTTCGTGTTTGCCGCAGATCATCCAGAGCACCTTCAGTGTTTTGTGCTGCCTGGGGCAGCTCTCAGAGCTGTTCCATATCTTTGGAAGGAGTCCTTATGGAAACTGTTGATGGAACTTGGTGGAGCCTTGGAGAATAAAATATTATTTCATGACAATGAAGGATGGCAGTATGCAAACTGACTTAGGTCACACTGTAACCCAGTATGCTAAGCCAGGTTTTGTATGTGCCAGTTGTGTTCTTTTGATCTAAGGTCTGTTTGGCTGTTTGTAACCTACCAGCTTATCCAACTCATCCTTTCAGGTTTCATCCCTTCTGTCTGTCTTTGAAATACCTGATAGCTCAGGGAAAATCCTTACTGGTTTTGTTGTGGGATTTTTTTTCCCAGCCCCTGATATAAAGGGCATATTGTAGTGCCAGTTGGCAGGAAAGTCAGTGGGATTTGGACCTGTGTTACTCTGCTTCTCCCTGGTTTTTTGTACTTTATAGGAAGGCATTGTAGCCCACTGTAACTGTAGAGCTACCAAACTGTTATCTTATCCTGGGGATGTGGCAGGTTTATGGCTAGAAGTGGAAAAGCTCCTTTAAACTCCCCTTGGTTTAGTACTTTTCCTGACCACAGTATCTGTACCAAGTAGTCAACAATCCCTGGCAGTGATTTGGTATTCATCATTCAACTATTCATCATTTCCAGGCCAACAAGAAAGGGAAGAGAACAGGAATTTAATTGTTAACAGTACTTGAAACAGAATAACAAGACATGTTTCCTGCAAAAAGCAGAGGTGTTGTGTCAGTGAACTACCAAACCCAGGCAGGTGAAGTTCTCCCGTTTTGACACTGGTGGTAAGACACCCTTTGGTGCAGGAGCAGGACGTGCTTCAGGGGGTGCAGAGGGCATCCCCAGCATGGCTTGTGCCTTGGCAACATTGGTCTCTCTGCTTGGACCAGGCAGCAACACATGGGAAGGTATCACTCTTTCAGATTCTAGAATGCTGATTTCAGTGCTGCATTTCTGTGTGAATTGCCTGTTTGTTCTTTTCAGGAGTCTTTAGAAGACTCTTAGGGTGGAAAAATTAGATGACTTAGGCATTTAATTTCCAGGAGTTAGTGAACTCATGCTGTGACTTTTTTGATTCTTTTGTTCAGAATTAACAATTAAGACACTAATGATTTACTGTGAAGAACTTTAATCATTTGTCAGTCACTTTTTTTTCTTTTTTAATCTGATGATGAGGAAGGTTATTACAGAATTATATTTCTGGAGGTGTTCTGTATAATGGTAGATGTTTGAGAACTTGCTGAAATAAGAAGGAATTGTTTGCTGCTGGGGTCACTATGTTCATCCTGTAGGATGAATGTACAGAACTGCTTGTCTTACTGGTGAATGAGCCATTTTTCAATCTGAAAAGCAACACGTTTGTATCAGAGAGGGCGGGATTGCTTTAGAGCTCTTATCAAATTGGAACCTTTTTCCTTAGTGACTCTACAATGCATGTCAAGCTCAGCATGTTGAATGTGTCACAACCTTGAGTGTGTTTAAAAAGCGACCACAAAATATGAGCTGCTCTGCTGCCCCAGCAGAACTTGTTTTATTGCCAAATCACTAATGTAAGAGTTTGCTCTGTTGGATATTGTGCTTTCTTCCAGTTTCCAGGTAGGTGGCTTGTGTATGTTGTTGAATTTTAATTGATCCCGTTATAACTTCTTATTCCCAGCTTCCTGCCTTGCCCCAGTTGGTGTTTGGATATTGCTGTTGGTTTGTTCCTCCTGGGCTGGCCTAGAGATACATGAGACAATTATATTTGGTTTCTCCATAAGTCCCTCCTGACAACCCAGACGTTCTGCCCTGCTGCCTTCAGTGTTTCACAGCAACACGAAGGACCTGGAGCTTTCTTCCCACAATACTTGGGTAGACTTTCTCTGCTACTTGGGGATGCTTTGGACAGAGCAGGCTGAGCCAACTGCCTTGGGCAGAGGGACACTGCTTCATTTCTAGCTGCTTGGAAGATTTAAACCTGATTTGGGCTGGCATGGAGGGACTTGGAGAAACCAAAATAAGCAGGTAAGAAATTATGCTTCCTTTCCCCAGGTGCTTGTGGTCCTGCACAGATGACAAAAGTATAGTTGAAGAAGGCATCATAGACATGGTAGAAAGAACTCACTTAATGTAAAAAATAAACAAGCCCTAATCACACACTCCCCATCCCCTGGAAAATTTTCTAGAGCAACTGAATATTTTTTCCAGTTTAAATTACCTAAAACATCGGCTTCTAAATACCTTCCAAAATTGTTTTGAGCTTCAATGGTATGTATCTGGACCTGAATTCCTTGGACATAACAAATAAATAGGTCCCTAGTAGTACAAAATACAAGATCAAATGTCTAATATCTGACTATCTAGAGAGTAATTTTCTGTGAGATTTTAGTAAGTTATGAGATTTCCTGTTAAAACTTCCTGTGAGTTTTCAAAAATACCTAATAACTTAAACTTTGAAAAGCCATGTGTCTTACAGAGCAGAGTTGTTAAAAACCTCTTGGTTTTGCAGATTGTCTTAAACTGTAAGCTAATTATCCTTTCTGCTGTGTGGGTAAGTATGGCTTGAGTGCCAGGTTGTTTTAAATTATGGGAGAACCTCCCCAAAATGCACAGTTTTTAGTCTGTCGTGCTTAATGCCCTGCCTGCTAATCAGGCAGAGATAGTCAACTGATCATAACACGGGGCAGCTGTGTTGGCAAATTCCTGTGCTGGTGTACAGCTCAAGCAGTAAAACCAATGGAATTCCAGCCTCATTCAAAATGGGCTCTGGGTACCCTGCGTTTTTCACTGTAAAAATGTCGCTCTTCTGCTTGAAATTTATCCCAGGAGTTACGTGTTTTCTTTCTGCCTGGGATCATATTTCCATTTTTTTCCTGTGACAAAATTTTTTTTTCTTCTTCTTGTAGGTTGAAAGAAGAAAAGGAGACCTGCTTGTCCAATGAAGATGCAGTCTTAGTCTTCAGCTATTTAAGCTGAATGCATTGTGATTTCCAATAATTGAGACAGTGATTCTGAAAGCTGTCTACATTAATGAAAAGAACAATGTAGTCAGCTTAACTGAATCATCAGTGTTGCATATTGAATAGAACACGATAAACCAATCCCGATGGACTTGTGCATGTTAGGAGTATAGATATAAACATTTATTAAAGCGTTGGTTTGGTTTTTTAAGAGACAGTAGTTTTAAAAATGGAGAACTGTGAAGGTGTACCACCCCTCCCTAAAGAACCCGCGAGGGAAATGAGCGTGGAGAATCAGAGTTGTCCCCCACCTCTGCCGCCCAACGAACAGCCTCCACCACCTCCCCTGCAAACGTCCAGTGACGCAGAGGTAATGGACGTTGGCTCTGGTGGTGATGGACAGTCAGATAGCCCTGCTGGGGACACGCCCGGGCTCGGCAGGACTCAGCTGCTCACCAAGGGATCTGCCTGCTACAAGAGCCGCCTCCTCGTGGACCCCGCCGGCGGCGACCAGAGCCCCAGAACCGCTCGTCACGCCCCGTCGGTCCGCAAGTTCAGCCCAGATCTTAAGCTGCTGAAGGATGTGAAGATTAGTGTTAGCTTTACAGAGAGCTGCAAGAGCAAAGACAGGAAAGTTCTGTACACTGGAGTTGAGCAGGATTATAAGGCAGACGCAGAGTTTGGTGTTAATAATGTCAATGGGGATTTGCATGTTTGTCCTTTCGGTGGTGGTAATGGTAAAGCTGTAGGAATAGGGGGAGACAGTGAGGACAAGAAGGAGGATGAAAATGATATTGATCAGGAAAAGAGAGTGGAATATGCAGTTCTGGATGAGCTAGAAGACTTTACCGACAATTTGATGGAAATAGATGAAGAAGGAGGAGGGTTCACATCTAAAGCAATCGTTCAAAGAGATAAAGTGGATGAAGAAACTTTGAATTTCTCATATGAGGTAAGCAAATCCACAGGTTTTTGGTGGGCAAGAGGTTTCCAAGTGGCTAGGAAAAAATACACAAAGAAACAGTCTCTTCTAGAAGTGTGCAGTATATGAGTCAAAAATGCAGAATTTTCAGAGTCGGAGCTTTGGCTGAAAACTTCTTTAAACTGTTTTGGTTAAACTCTTGAGTTGTGTGGCAGCTTCTGTAGTTTGTTTAAAAATGGCATTTAAAAGTCTTTTCACACAGTTGCAGCTCATTTTATCGTAAAAAATACGACTCTCACAAAAACTTATTTTCTTATTTTTCAGTCTTTTTACTGGAATCATTGGAAGTGTCTAGTTTCTCTATGGAAGTGCATATCAAAAATGTGTACTTACTCTTTGCAAGGGAAAAGGGAGGTTGGTAGACCCAGAAGGATAGTGTCTGATGAAGTCTCTTTCAGGATGACTTTGATAATGATGTGGATGCTCTGCTGGAAGAGGGTCTTCGAGCACCCAAAACAAGGAGACTAGATAATGAGAAATACGGGGGTGAGAGCGATCACCAGTCTGATGGAGAAACGAGTGTGCAGCCAATGATGACCAAAATTAAAACTGTCCTGAAGAGTAAGTTGATGTTCATTAAATAACTGTAATTCTTGTATATGGCTTGTGTCTGTAGAACAAAAGTATACCAGCAAGCAGAGTGTGGGATAGCAATTCTTATGGAATTGTTAATATGTTGGAGAATTTTATTGTTTGGAGGCAGCTTGCTGTGGTGTTTTTCGTGTTCCTAAACAGTGAGGTTGGTTTTTGCTTTTGATCTGTTTTATGTACTAAGAATGCATTTTAGTGTGTGGATTTGTGAAAAAGAATGAAGAATGTTACCTCAGTGGCAGAGAGGTGAACAAGGATGATCTGGGGCTTTTGTCTCCAGTACCATGAATCAGCTGAAGACTTCGTGGTCATTGTGGACTTCTCCCCACTTCAGCAACTTCTGCTGTTGAAATGGCTCCATGTGCAGTCTGTGCAGGCAATACTAGGTTACAAGTAATGACTAGAAAAGTCAGTGGCTTACATTTATCTAATTTCATTGTGTAAAGGTTAGAAAGTACTAATAAAGAAGAGCTGAGAATATGAACCAAGCCAGAAGAATTTACCTGAAAATATTCTGAATTAGCATTAAAATTTGAACACACTCTAGAGGAATACTTTACAGCTTCAGTATGTTTTGAAATAGGAAATCAAATGGTTTTCCCCTCCAAAATTGTGTACTAATGCAGGATTGCCAGGAGGCTTCCAGCAAAGGTGAATGGTCTCTGATTTCTGGTGTACAGAGGAGTGAGACCTTGGCTTACAAAGGAGCTCCTTGCTGGCTGTTTGGATCTGTAGGTCTGGTGGTGACTCAATGCAAATTTATTCCCAGGTGTCAAGTGAAAAATTTTTTAATGGAAAATTCAGTTGTTTCTAAAGCAAATGTGACTTTCCCAGTAAATACAGTGGTGCTTAAATACATAAAAGAGACTAGTGAGAAAATCCAGTGAAGAAACAAACAAAGCAGTCTGTATAAAAATTAGTGCTTCTTTTACCTTTCACTTGAGAACATAATGGAATCTGTAATTTTTCGGGATTTAGTGTGGTTTAGAAGCATATACCTTGTTATTAAAACAACTTCTCTCTACAAAACATCTTTAATCTTGTTGCAGTGCAGTTTTATTCTTTGAGACAGAAAAGGCAATAAATAAAAACCTGGATTCTTGTTCTTTTAAGCAGTCTGTGCAAGTTTAAAGCCATTCTTTGCTTTCAAGGTCGTGGCCGCCCTCCTACAGAGCCTTTGCCAGATGGATGGATCATGACATTCCATAACTCGGGCATTCCTGTATATCTGCACAGAGAATCCAGAGTGGTTACCTGGTCTAGACCTTATTTCTTGGGAACAGGAAGCATAAGGGTGAGAGCTGTCAATTACTTACATACTTACTAAGATTTCAACATTAGATGTGTTCCTGCAAGCAGTTGAATATTTTTCTGCTTTAGTGGGTTTTTTCCCAGTGTTAAAACTAAGGTCCTTGAAAAGTAAACTCTTCTCTTTCTGAAAATTTGATAGGATTTTTCTTAGGTGCTTGGTTTTTCTGTTTGGGCAGTTAGAGAATGAGGTGATCTTGTTTGGTGCCTTTGTTTTTCTAGCATATGGCTGAAAAAGTTTGGGTTTATTCCACCATGCAATATATATGGATCACTTATTTGTAGCTGTAAACTAGTCTGAGCTGTGGCTTATGGTCCACATTTACAGAAGTAAGGATGTGACAGTCATGAACCCAAGGAATCTGCAGAAACTGGATTTAATGCCATGGGCTCATGCCCCAAGAAAGCTGGGTGGATTTTATGAAAGCATGTAGTGTGTGCATGTGACCAGAATGTAGTTTGGATCTAAAGCAGCCAACACTCAGCAGGTTTGTGTCGGGGGTGCACAGTGTCAGGGTACCACAGGAGGGACCCTGTTCAGCTCTGGAGTAGAATGAGGTTGCTGACCAAAGAGAAGCCAGAGCCTGCACTGAGGAAAAGTAACTTCCATCTTAATTGCATCTCTTGGGTTTGATTTTTGCTTTTGCTGACCTTGAGATACTGATACCTTCTGTATTATTTTATATTTGCAGAAACATGATCCTCCCCTTAGTAGCATTCCTTGCTTTCATTACAAAAAAATGAAGGAAAATGAGGAAAGGGAACAAAACAATGACATAACCCCCAATGGGGAGGTATCACCTGTAAAGCATCTAGAGAAATCCTCAGAACTGGACTGCCAAACAGAAGAACCAGATTCCACTGCTGCTGATTCTGGGCCTTTAGATGACAAAGACCCCTCTGGGGGAGATGCAGCACAAGGAGCCTTGGGACAAGTTAAGGCCAAAGTTGAAGTATGTAAAGATGAATCTGTAGGTATGTATGGCAAGTGGAGTCTTTTCTTGCCTGGAGTTGGGGTAATGACATTTGGGAGGCTTTATTCCAGACTTGGCAGCTGAGTGGTATCTTGGCTGAGGTCAGGTGATCAGTTTTCAGGCTGCATGCTCTGAGATCTGGAGAAACACATCCAGTATTTGAAATCAATTTTGATTTTAACAGAAGAGAAATACACAGTGAAGAATTTTGGTGAAGCCTTGAGAGTCCACGTGGAAAGGTTTTACACAAAAAATGTGAACAGTTTGGAAGTTAGTCCTGTAGATTTTATCTCAGTTTAACAGTCAGTTAAGTCAATGGATACATTTGAATTGCTGTTGTCAGGTGTGTTAGTGTGACTTCTTTAACTAGGCTTTTCTAGGCAGCCTCTATGTTGGCTGAATTGTATCTATTTTCAGTATCAGCTCTTTAAGATAAGTGGTGCAGCTAAACTGTATTTCCTTATTTGCACAACTCTATCAAAATAAGTCATGCAGATATAATTGGATGCATATGAAGGGGGTGATGCTTCATTATTTTATTTGTACAAGTCTGATAGCCTCCTTTGCACAAAAAGTTGTCTGAAGAAGTCATGCCAAAATCACTGCCTAACTTACAGAAACTTGGACAGGAAGCTCATGTGCCACTTGCCACATCTGCATACCTCAGGGGCCCATCCATGTAAATTAATGCTCCTCAGAATATTGATATGGATCATAGGCTGCTATTTGTCTTCAGTATTCAAACATAAAACTTGCACTTGACATTACATGTGTCCAGTTCCCTCAGAAAAACATACCAAAAGATTTAAAGAAACCCAAATCACCAGTATTTAGCAGCAAAACTAAAACCAGTGAGCACTTACTTTTGTATGTGAAGTTCACCTCTGTATCTCTTTCTTCAAATAGGATCTGTGAGTGATCAAGCATAAGCATGACTTGCATATGGAGTTCCTTGTGGAAGGAAACAATACCAGCAGCTTGCTTTTGTTTGTTTACATCTGTGGATGCTACTCTTTATTTTTGCTGATTATATCTGCAGAAGTATCCTATAAAGGAGAAGCAGCTGTATTTCAAGGGGGGAGTCTTTCAGTGCTCTGTGTGTGAAATTAATGTGTTGAATTGTGCTTAGAGGCTGCAGACACTCCTGGAGGTCATGCAGCATCACTGTACAGAGTTTGATGGTTCACTGCTGAATAAATAGGCGGTGATAGCTGGGCTCAGGAAGCTGAGGCTGGAAGCAGAACTGTGCTCACTGTGTGCCTCGCTTCAGGGGCAGGAAGGTGAACAGGTGTTGAAGCAGAACAGTTGCCAGTGTTTGTTACAAACTGGTTTGGGTATTGTGCTAGATAGGGCTTCCTAGAATCTTCAAGCGACAATAAAATGGTCTTTTGTTTTGTTTTCCAGTTTGCACAAATATTTTGCATTTCCAGTAACAGGAAAACTTGTAATTAGTTCTGTTAGTATAAAATAGCATCTTAACCTTTGGCTGCTGCTCTGAGACTGTAATTATAGCGTGTTTGAACAGTGGAAACAGAGAACTTACTGCTTGCTCAGTGGTAAAGAGGAGAGAGTAACTTGCCTGTGTTCCTCAGATCTGGAGGATTTCCGGCGCTACCTGGAGAAGCGCTTTGACTTCGAGCAGGTGACGGTGAAGAAGTTCCGGACGTGGGCGGAGCGGCGCCAGTTCAACCGCGAGATGAAGCGCAAGCAGGCGGAGGCCGAGCGGCCCATCCTGCCTGCCAACCAGAAACTCATCACCCTCTCTGTGCAGGATGCACCTATCAAGAAAGGTTGGCTTATCTGCCTGCAGTTCAGGCATTCTGCCTTCAACACTGACAGCTCGGCTGAAAATAAATCCTCCAATAAGTTCATTTTGTGTTCTTTGATCCATCACGTTACATAGTAAAGGGAGAACATTGTCAAAATGTGCTTCCTATTGAAAAGAATAATTCGTAAATGAAAAGATTTTTATTTAAGGTTACAGTCCTGGTAACTAGTGACTGCCTTCAGCTATACTTACTGTTGGCTGTTGCTGAAAACCCCCCTGCCTTGTCACTCAGTACTACTGCCTTCTCAGTTCTGTACCAGTTCTAGTTGGTCCAGAATTAGAGATTGGTTACAAATACCATATTAATCCAGATTAAAACCTCCTGTTAAAAATACAAATGTGCAGTTGTGTCCTGTGGTGTGAGGAGTGGATATTGTGTCTGACAAGAAGCTGGAGTGTTCCCTTGTGTGTATTGGCTGTGTATCCATAATAGCACATCTGACTGCAGTCTGGTGTTTAAAATGTCCATTAGACCTGTGATTTGGATTCTGGTTTTATTTTGTACATTGTCATGTTTCCGAGTTTGTTCTCTTAGCAGAATTAAAGCTCATGAGTTGCATATTGACCACTGCCTGTTATAGGGAGGTACAGCTGAATTTTCAGTCAATACATTTTTATCTTCAAGTGTAGGTTTAGAACCCCATTGAAACTGTCTGAATTAAAGATGTATTTGCACTTTATCTGTCTGATCCTCACTTTCTCCCCCACATTGTCATAGTGCCTGCTGAGCCAGGGTTTGTGCTCTTGACTAATGATACTGTTGCAGGGGAAAAATCCCATCCAACCAAAAAGTAATCTTTCCAATAAAAAGAGCACAGCCATGGCAAGGGAGCAGTGCCCTGGTCTGTGGCTTGCTGAACAGGGTTTTTGTGTAGGATGGCTGGGGGAAGGGGGAATGATTCTGGTTTGTGGATTTGAAGTCTATGTGCCCGTTGTTGTCTCCTTTCTGATGTGTTTGGAGCAAATTAGAGGATCTCTAATTGATGTTAGCTGCCAAAAACGCTGTGTCTAGAGGTCCAGAGGCCCTGGGACTGCAAACATTGAACAGAATGTTTGACTTGGCTCATAATTAGTGCACTTCTAGTTGTTGATGGAAACATCTCACTCACACCTCAATACTTTGTCAATGAAAATGGCCTGGGAGGTCTTAGTTACCTGCACCAGATTCAACACCAGTGCATTTCACTTATCCCTTGGAGCTCCTAATTTATTTATTGATTTATTTGTAGTAGAAATAGTCTTGTAAAGACTGGAACTACTTAGTTTCTTCCCCTCTCCTTGTCTTTTTTTGCAGAATTTGTCATTAATCCCAATGGGAAGTCTGAAGTTTGCATACTGCATGAATATATGCAACGAGTCCTGAAGGTTCGCCCTGTTTACAATTTCTTTGAATGTGGTAAGTCTGTTAAGTTTTCTTAAAATATAACTGGAATCAAATTAACATTGGGCTTTGTTTCCTGAAGTGCTGTGATGTATGTTCCCTTAATTCTTACTTTTGTTTTTTCGTTTTCTTTTTTTTTTTTTGAGGGCACCTTATAATTCTTCAGAATTATGTTATTCCTATGTATGTATTACATAATTTACCTGAATTTTCAATATCAGAATGTGTAGCTCTTGTATTCACACTGGGATTTGGAGACTTTGGTGTTAATACTTGAATTCTGGCAGATTACCAGGGATCTCTTAAAATGTTCTTTATTTGGAAGAATGTGGTAAGTCTCTGTTAATGGAAAACTCTTGTTAGTCTTTCTTATACTGAAGTAAGCAATTTTTCAGTCTTTATGAAGAATAAACAATTTCCATCCCTCTTGAAGTTGAAATGAAGAAGAAAAGAAAGCCTTGATAGTGGTGGTATCTCATGTTCATGGTGAGTGTATTTTACACTGAGAGTTCTGCAAAGCTTTCTTTTACTTTCTTCCTCTATTTCCAGAGAACCCAAGTGAACCTTTTGGAGCCTCAGTTATTATTGATGGAGTAACTTATGGGGCAGGAACTGCCAGCAGCAAAAAACTTGCCAAGAATAAAGCTGGTAACATTTTTTCTTTCTTAATAACAACTCCTGATTTGTTTCTCTGTTTTCATTTCTGCTTTGGAAATTACATATTTGCCAGAGTAAGTGGGAATAATTTTGTTAACAGTCAAATAAAATGTGTACATGGCCTTTTGGCAAAATTGATAAATGCTGGTGCAGAGACTTTGCTGACAAGCAAAGGTTCAGCAATGGACTGGGACAGAAAACCATGAAGGAACTTGCTCTGCTGACTTCCATGCAGGCTCTTGATGTGCACTGGGCAGCAGTGTGAGAGTCTGTCTCTAATGATCCACCAGGAAGAACTTGTTGGAGGTTTTATGTCTCTGCTGTCACCTGCTGTATAAACACCTGGGGATGGATTGGAGCAAAATGAAAATATTTGCCTATCTTTCAAAAAAAAAAAAAGGAAAAAAATCCCTCCAACTTTTGTTTGTATTGGTTTTCTCTCTGACAATAAAGCAGTTGCATTGAACTATGTGATTATTGATTTCTAAGTACTTGTCTTCATTTTTCTAACTGTGTAAGTCTGTAATAACTGTGTAAGTAGTTCTAGATGGGAATGTCTTGCCACATCTGCTATGTTAGGACTCCTCACTGAGCTCCAGGTTTCAATCTCTTTAGCATAAGGCTCAGAAAAAAAACCCTCAGCAGGTAAAGATGTATAACATCCATGTGGTAATTTCTGCACTTGAGAAGTCCATCAGTGCAGCCAAATCCCCAAAAAGCAGCCTGGAATTGTTTGTGCATGAGGAAAAGGGATTTTGCTGTGAAGGTTTAGGCAGATCCTGGGGTGCTTTTTGTACCACGCTGGGGTTTGAATGCCCTGGGGATGCAGCACCAGGGCTCAGCTCTAACAACTGAGGGACACAACTCTCATTTTTGCTGCTAAGGGCTCTGTGTCACTTATTAGAGGAGATCTTTTTCTTTACAGTCATTGTTTAAAATAAACTTAACCAAGATGTTTAATCACTCTCTGCAGCTCGAGCTACACTGGAAATCCTTATTCCCGACTTTGTTAAACAGACCTCTGAGGAGAAGCCCAAAGACAGTCAAGAACTTGAGGTACTGAGCTTTTGCTTCCTGGCTGTCATTATTGGAGTCTGTTTTTAAAAACATTGCACCTTCAGTGTCAAAAATACAATGGAAAGTTCATAAGGTTGTTTTCTCAGTCCAAGGGAAATGTGAAATTCTTCCTTTAGAGGAAGATCTATGGCAATGAAAATACCTTTTTTTTTAATTGGAATTGATCAGAAGACTTAGTGTGATGCAGAGAACTAGTTCCTTACTGATTATATCAGGTCACTTACTGAAGACCTGAAATGTTCCAAGATACCAGACTGCCTGTACTGTCCTGGATTCCAAAATCCTCTGGTTGATGCTGTGGAAAGTTCAGAGCTAAGTGTTGTCTGGTTTTGTGTGATCATCTTAGGACACCAACGAAGAACTGAAAGTGCTCAGTCTTCTGAGATGTTTTTACCTACCTGTAAATCTCAGGCAGTGACATTTGAGAAAATCAAAGGAAGAGTTTCTTTAAGTGGAGAATATGTGCTATATTTTCAGGTGCTGGAAATATGAAGTAGTTTGTTGATCAGTGGTACTTCCCACAGACCATCAGTGAGGAGTAAGGGACAAATCAGTGATCAGCCTGAAAGGAACGTTTTAAAGAGTGCAATATGCAAAGTTAGTTGTTTGTGCCTTTGCTTTAATTTAAAACTGTTGTATCCCCTACACTACTGAAATGGTCATTAGGAAAATGCAAACCATTTTTTCCATTGCTTTGCAATACAAAATGTGCCAATAGCTGTGTGATTAGGTGTGGCAGTTTTAAGGATGTTGATAAATACCTCCCATTATGGATTTAAAAGCCCTTTTAAAAGTATTAGGCACAGAGCAACAGATCTTATTGAATGTTGCAAAAGAGAAATGAGGGTTAAGGACAGTTTTAGGGCCTTACTTGCACAAAGCACAATGACCCTTCTCAATTCCTTTGTAGTATTTTAACCATATCAGTATTGAGGACTCACGGGTATATGAACTCACCAGTAAAGCTGGACTCTTGTCTCCATATCAGATTCTCCATGAGTGCCTTAAAAGGTAAGGCTGCAGCAGGAGGGCAGTTTGGGGGCACAGTGTCCCTGCACTGTTGGGCAGTGCCTGGGCACTGCTGGGCTGGCTGAGCTCCCTGTGCCAGCCTTGGGGGGACTCAGCTGGGCAATGCTGAGGCTCTTGGAATTCATGTTTGCTGTTTAGGCCTCTTCTGAGATCAGAATTTTGTTGGGGGACATATATTTGATTTCCCTTTATACAGGCTTGCCTTTTCAAGTTGCTGATCTAAAATACCCTTTTCATTAATGAGTGTTTTGGAATTTATTATTAATGTCTAATTTCATTGCAATTACTCTGGAAGATAACTGCAACCACTTCAGTTGTTTGTAGTTTTACTTAGTATGTCATCTTGATTTTGTGCTTAAGAAACCACGGAATGGGAGATACATCCATCAAGTTTGAAGTGATTCCTGGGAAAAATCAGAAGAGTGAATACGTGATGACGTGTGGGAAGCACACGGTGCGAGGCTGGTGTAAGTACAGGCTGGGGAGTTCTGCCCTGCCTGGGGCTGGGGGCTGGGGAGCTGTCCCTGCTCTGCTCTCCCAGTTCTGACTGATACAAGGGAATGTTTGGGGGGCTGGGGAGCTGTCCCTGCTCTGCTGTCCCTGTTCTGACACAAGGGAATGTTTGGGGAGCTGGCTCAGCTGGGAGCTGTCCCTGCTCTGCTCTCCCAGTTCTGACTGACACAAGGGAATGTTTGTGTTCATCTCACTACACGATGGTCCAGGACTGACACACTGCCATGACTGTTTTTACAGGCAAAAATAAGAGAGTGGGGAAGCAATTGGCTTCCCAGAAAATCCTGCAGCTCCTGCACCCCCACGTGAAGAACTGGGGCTCTCTCTTGCGGATGTACGGGAGGGAGAACAGCAAGCTGGTTAAACAGGTGACTGTGCTCTTGGGTTGGTCATAACCTACCCTGGGACTGGAGTTTTGCCTTTGGATCTTTCTGGGGGTTTAAATTTAGCCCCAGCAAAGCTTTAGGGTGTCTGTTTTGGTGTGCTGGTCCCTGCTGGTGAAGGCAGTGCCCCTCTGGGGAGCAGTTCTCAGTTCAGAAGGGATCCTGTACCTTGCTATTGCCAGAACAGGAGAGGAGTGATTGCACTGACAGTAATCACTGTTAATCTTGCATCTTCCAGATCAAAATTATATAACCTGTTAAATATTTAACATTGACCTCACTTGTGGAAATAGATTTTATTACTTAAGGAAGTACAGCTATTGCTTCATGTACATTATTTTGATCAGTTGTTGCTTGTGGTTCTGTTGAATAGGAAACCTCTGATAGAAGTGTGATAGAGCTTCAGCAGTATGCCAAAAAGAACAAGCCAAATCTGCACATCCTGAACAAGTTACAGGAAGAAATGAAAAAACTGGCACAGGAAAGAGTGAGTAAATGTTCTTGTGGATTTACAAACAACACAAGTGCCACAGTTCACCTGTACCAATGGTCAGATGGTTTTGCTTGTTTTACTCAGCATCTCAGGTGAAGAGAGCTCTTCAAAACTTGACTGGGGGGCTACTTTTAAACTCTCTTTTAAACTGTCTTATAACTTAAATGTACCTACTTCAGTAAATTTATTTTCAACGTCAGCCCAAGTTAGTCTTTCACAATGACTGACAGAAGGTTGGCTAAAATTGTACAAAATTGGAATGGTGTTTATGATTACCTTCTCTTTGTGACCGTGTGGTGGGGGCTGTTTCATGTTTTTGTAGGAGGAAACACGAAAGAAACCCAAGATGACAATAGTGGAGTCGGCTCAGCCTGGGAGTGAACCTCTCTGCACTGTTGATGTGTGAGGAGAAAATGCAAGTGGGGAGCAATAACACAAATGGAGGAACTAGATTTTCAACAATTATTTAAAAATTGTTTGCTGCAGAATGCAAGATAACTTTTAAAATCCAAGCTGCTTCAGTTATGCATTGTTCTTTTTGCATCATCAGGGCAATATTACTTTTTCCTAGTTTCTTTTTCTTTGGTTAGGTATTTTTCCTTTTTTAATACCTCTGAGATATGTACGTTTAAAGGATCGATCATAAAGGTCTCTTACTGGGCAAATGCACAGAGCACAGGCATGTTCACACAGGATAAAATCAATCAAGCACTTTTTTCCTGGAAAGCCATCCATGTTGTTTGAAATGGATGTATTTTAAGTATGAAATTCAGAATATCTATGTACAGGTTGAAGCCGATATTATATATATACACATTCATATATATGTATATATAAAAGAAATATATGTACATCTTCTTGTATGAACATGCCTAAAACTATTTTTGTGAAAAGTTTTGTTGCATTTCAGCACATAATAATATGCACTGATAAGACACTTTGGTGACAAATACAGGAAAGTGATGAGCAATGTTCCTAATGCCATAGGATTAGGCCAGTAATGCTGTTTTTGTTTTACTTTTTGTCTCCTGCCAGGCTTAGATATTTGAGAGCACAGGATAAACATTTTTTTACTACTTGAAAAGAACAAGTACACCTGGTAGTGTTAAGAGTAACAGATTGGATATCCAAAATTACTGGACTTTATTTGTAATGAAAAGAGCCTGTGTTAGTTTACAGATCACTTGAACGGGGAAAATACGGCCCTAGTTGTATGATTAAAATAAAAACTGTAGTTTGAAAGGCTGTTTTCAAAGCTTGGAGCCAAAACGCAGCTGATGATGGTTGATAGTCTAAATATACTTTGCCAATGATGTGTTTAAAGACTTTCCACTCCCTTCTCCCAGCAATAAAACAATTTATTTGTTTGGTGTCAGATTACATCTGACTTGATCAATTAAGTCTTAATTAATTTGCACCATAAAAGCAAAGAACTTAAAAAAGAATCAACACAACCCTAAAATATGAAATAACTGCAGCAATTTAGTTTTTTTTTAAGAAGCCTTTGTTTTTACTTTTTTTTAATTACATTTTTAGTTTTTAAAGACAATGTGTAACTTTTGCAAACTAGAATGTAGGTTTGGGTTATGACATAGAGTAATGAGTAGAATGAGACTATAACTGGCAATGCTCCTGACTAAGGAAGTCACAAATATGCAAAGTGTTCTCAGCTGCAGCGTGGGCAGGAGGCCTGGGCAGGCACAGCACAGGAGGAGCTGCAGCCAAGGCCCCGCTCAGGGGTTTGTTCTTCACTGGGGTTCTCTGTGGGGTTCTCTGTGGGGTTCTCTGTGGCACTGCAGTGTCTGCTCTGGGAGCCATCCCTGGGTTCTCTGTGGGGTTCTCTGTGAGGTTCTCTGTGGCAGTGTCTGCTCTGGGAGCCACTCTGTTGCCCTGTGAGGGGAGAGTGAAAGCCGAGCTGGTGCTTGTGACTCCTGGAGGAGCTGCTCTGCTCTGTCCTCCCCTCCTCCTGCCCTGGGGAGTGACCCAGCTCACTGCTCTGCACCTGCTGCAGCTTCTGCCCCTTCCCTGGACAGGGACCTGGGGGCTCCAGGGGTTGTTTGCTTTGGGTTTTCTTTTGATTTTTGCTGGGGGGGTTTTGATTTCCTGTGTTACATGGAGAGCGCTGCAGTATATTGAATTTAGTGCCTACTGGATTTTAACAATGTTGGCATCAGTATTGTAAGACCTCCTTTTACATCATGCATTACTTTGGAAATACGTGGAGTTTAATTTATATTTCAAGCTGATGTTCTCTCACGTGTTGCATATGATGTTTGAGGTTAAACAGGAGGAGTCTTGGAGTCTCACCTGTTTCTGTGTTTGAGTGATACCCTCGGGGGTCTCTGCAAATACAAATCCATCCATTTTTTTATTATTGTATTTAGCTTTTTAGTTCCACGAGTTGTAATCCTGGTACAACAGGATACGGGTAGTTGGAAGACTATACATAAACTTATTATTTAAAGAAGTGGCCTGTCTTAAAAAAAAAGAAACAAAAAACACTGCCTCTGCTTTTTTTTGTATAGCTTTAATAAATCTCCATCTTTTGAAGGGTATATAATATTGGTGCAGCAGTGACAAGCAGTGATTGCTGTTTGTCTCTTTGTTTTTATTGGATTTTTTTTGTTTATTTTCCTAAAGACAGGGCTTATATCTTCTATGCCTAAATAGATAGGTTTTATTTCAGCTTCTCTGTTTTCAGCAGAAAAATCTGTACTTGGATGGCACTGTAAAAGACAAATCACCCTTGTAGATCTTTTTATTTTTCTGAAACCAGAATGTCAATGCATTTGCAGGTCACCTGCAGAATATCCATAGATGCCTCGCTTACCAATTTGCTTTCATTAATTTTAAGAGGATTGCTGTATTACCTCACTCTGCCACTATCAGATTCACAAGGTGACCATTGCCCTTAATAACCACCCAGAGATTTCATTGTGAACCAAAGCCTAGAACGTGTATTATGCATTCTAAACAAAACCCAACCACCAGGATGGTATCAGACCTTGCTGCAGCCTTTAACTGGAGAGATGTCCAGGAACCCGCAATAACTGCTGGAACAAACAACGGAACTGCTGTTGATGTCAGTGTGGAGTATTCTTGTGTTTTAATGTTTACTATTGTTTGGAGTGTAACAGTCTTGCATTTGCACATAAGCACGAGCTGCTGTGATAGAGGATAGATCATTGCATTAACTTCAGCTTCTGCATGAACACTTACAGTGTGATTCAAGATGTATCCTAAACTTGTCTTGTAACTTGTGTGTTTTCTAGGTAATCGGCTGTAAAGGTTTAGATCTGACTGTACGAATGCATAAAACAACTGCTGCTTTTGTCACTGATACTTGTTATTTATCCCTTCTATATCCAGAGGAAGATGGGTATTTTTATAGGGATGGAGTGTATTTTTAAGAACTGTTCCATCCTTTGGGGATTAGACAGTTTTGCTTTGCATATTATGTGCTTCTTGACAAAAGTGTGGTTTATTGACTTTAAGGATTCAATTAGTGTGCATTCAAATCTTCATGGTACTGACAGAAAACTTACTGTGACTTGCAGTGACTAGTCAGATGCTACCTACTGGAACACCAGTCATCAGCTTTTTTACATATTTATTAGGCAGAACTGATGAATTAGTTGGGTACTCAGAAGTTTGGAAAGACTATTATGCATAAACTTAACTGTTGTATGTAAACTTCCATTCTCCTGTGATGCTGTTAGGCTTTATACAAATATATTTGTAACATCCAAGTATTTAAAAGCATCATGATTATCTTATTAACTCTCTAAACTGTACTTTGGTCCTGGAGTGAAGTTGAGGAAGTGATATCCTCCTAACTTTCCGTGGGAAGGAATGTGAAGTGCAAGAAGCCATGCTGTTATTAACCAAATAAAATGATCAGTTACAGTATTGCAGTGTGTATCTGGAGGTGGGGAAACAAACCAAACCCGAGTCCATCCCTATTGCCCGAGCAGGTACCAATGGTTGCTCTTTGAGGTGTGGTGGGTGCAGTTGCTTGATGCCAGTGCTGAATTGGTACAACTATAAAGCCTCATTTTCACTGAGCCTCTGCTTGCTTTTTTTCTGCACAATCATGTAATCCTCTGTGTTTGGTCTTTGAGTACTACATGTGTATTTTTCAGACAATTAGTTTTGAGCAATAAAGTTTGATATTATAAAATGCACCAGTGTGATCAGTATTACCATGGCTTAAGCATATCTAGAAAAAGGAACTTTTTTATTCCTTGAGTCCTGTAGGTGTTTTTAATAGAAATTAAATTAGTGCAGGCTCTAACTTCTTGGTTAGGGAAGTACTTGATCACCTTTCTGGTAAGGAATTGAATGTTTAAATGGTTAAACCCTTGGAATTAAATTACAGTGCTTTCTTGAACTGGGATTTGTATTTTTACTTAAATAATGTCAAGGTTGGGAGTGTCTCAGCCCCAAGTGCTGCTTTTGGTACCTGCTGTCACTGGACAGGTGGGGTGTTGTTCAGGCCACATTAAATGTGTATCAGAAGTTTGTTTGGTAACTTGAGATTTGAGGTGGTTTTTCCTTCTCCCAGTCAGTGTTGTGTCTGCTCTGGAGTGTGGATCACAGGCCCTTCATGGCAGCTGCTGGGCACGTCTGGAGAGTGACTCTGCCTGGAGAGCACCTGTGCTGGGCTGGGGCTCTCAGCCAGGTTTGTCTCCAGGCATGGGAAGTGCATGGGCTCAGTGGGGTCACTGTCCTGGTGTGTCTGTGCTGGGGGTTTGTCAAACACAAACTGCCTTTGTCTCCTGCTGCACAGGGCTACGACTAAAACAGCTGGGAAGATACCTGAGGAAAGATCCTTTGGGCCCAGGGCAGAGGTTTGGGACAGAGCACCAGTGTCCAGAAGTATTTCAGCTCTAACTCAAACACTGAAGGAGATGAGGTTGTACTCCTTCTCATTCCTCAGTGATCCCTGAATTACACAGCTCTTCCAAAAACACTTTCTGTGGGGCCAAGGTTACCCTTTCAGAGCTCCTGCAGGATCAGAACACCTCAGTGGGGCTGCAGAAGTTCCTGGAGATCACTGGCACCCCCTGAAGGCACCCCCTGAGCAGCCTCACTGACACTGAGAGGAGGAGGAGTCTCTTGCCCAAAAAGGACAAGTGTCTTCCCTCTCCTGCCATGGCCTGACTGGGGGCAGTTTGCAGGGTGAGGGCCTGGCTGGAGCCTTTAGTTCTGAGGTTTAGGACACTCAAGCATTGATTGTCCCGTCCGTGCAGCTCCAGCCTGGTCAGACTGACTGCGGCTGAGGGGAGGGGGGCACTGAGGTTGGACTGAGTTTGTTGCTTCCTAGGGAGGAGTCAGCAGTGAAATGATCTGTGGAAGGTTTAAGGTTGCTCCATCTTCACTTGCCTCCTCAGCCAGGGTGTGGTTTTGACAGGCTGGCAGAGCCCAGGGGAGCAGTGACAGTGACACTCTCCAGAGTGCCTGGTGTTGGCTGGAGGTGAGTAGCAGCTGTTCACCAAGGGTGGTGTGTTCACACTCATGGGAAGGGGTGGTCTTGCATTAAAAATCAGCCCATGTTTCAAGTAGTTGTATCTGCATAGAGTTGTGGAATACTTTATTTAAAGCCATTTCAAAGAGGGAGACAACTCTGGGCATGAGGAGAAAAGTAGAATTTGGGTTTAATAGTACCTAATGCCCCATCCCTGGAAGTGTCCAAGGCCAGGTTGGATGGGGCTCTGAGCAACCTGTTCTAGTGGAAGGTGTCCTTGCCCAGGGCAGGGGGCTTGGTATGAGATGATCTTTAAGGTCCTTTCCAAACCAAACCATTCTGTGGTTCTACAATAATGAAATTTCATTCATGAGTATGAGGAAAGAACTCGAAGCCTTGCACCTACTCTGCTGCACAGAGATTTATTCCCTGGATGTTACAGACACGATGTTATGGACGCAGCTGGCCAGGCAGGGGTTTGTGCACAGTGTCCCTGAGTCAGGGTGACTCCCTGGCCTGGCCTGCAGTGTCTCCATGGCCAGCACCTGCCTGGCTCCCTGCTGTGTCTGAGGGGACCCCTCCTGCCGTGGGCTGAGCTGCTGCCGAGCTGCCGTTGGCGAATTCCACGCGCTCAAAGCAGAGCAGTAACTCACAGTGCCTGGTCTGGGGGAACAGATCCACGGCCATGGCTCGCACCGGGCGGAAGGAGGCTCCTCTGACCCTGTTGGACGGGGCCCGGCAGAGGCTGAACAGGAAAGGACAGAAAGGGGAGGAA